CGAAGAAGTTTTGACAAAACATTTACGTTCATGTTTGACAAAACATTTACGAAGAAGTCATGAAAATTCAAGAGGTGAAAAAAGAGGTGAAAAAACAGGTGAGATCTCACCACTTCACCTAAATTATATTTTTGGGTCCTTTACACTCATTACGAAGAAATCATGACAAAACATTTACGTTCATGTTTGACAAAACATTTACGAAGAAATCATGACAAAACATTTACGTTCATGTTTGACAAAACATTTACGAAGAAGTTTTGACAAAACATTTACGTTCATGTTTGACAAAACATTTACGAAGAAGTTTTGACAAAACATTTACCCGACATTCTCGTCAAATACAAAAAATGACACTTTTTCATTAGATAACTGTTATTTTTTGACGAAGTGAAGATTGACACTTCGTCAAAAAAATCCCTGAAATCATGTCTTTACATACAAAAAATACAAAATAAATAAAATAAAACTAACTTTATTTTTTATTTCGGGAAAATTCATGAAAATTCAAGAGGGTAGAAATGAGGGTAGAAATGAGGGTAGAAATGAGGTTAGATCTAACCATCTAACCTAAACATTATTTTTGGTCATGGACTTCGTCCTCGCCGCTTTGCGTCTTTATGTTAAAATAAATGGTATCATTAATAATTTCATGACTGTTCTCGTTCATGTCTGATTTACATCCAATGAAAAAGTTTAGAAGAATTTTCTTATTCTTTCTGGCATATTTTTGTCTTTCCAGTACTCCCGCTCTAATGGTCCCAGATGTGTTGGCTTTGACTCTCTCAAGTTCTTAGATGGTATAACATCTTCAACACCTCCTTCATATCTTACTTTATAAGTGTCATCGTTTTATGTTATAGTCAAGTATTTCAATAACCACTCCTCGCTTTGCTTCGTCAATGGTTTCAGCAAGTTTGCCATTACTACTTTCGACTAATTTATGTCGAGGGTAAAACGCAATAGAGTCGTCAGCAGCTTTTATAAGATATCCATTACCTTGCGTAGAGTCTACGATATAATAGTTTCTACTTAACCTTAAACGTTCTTTGTCAACGGTTTGTCGTCAAGGACTACACGAACTTTTGTACCAGGAATGAGGGTAAATTGTGTTGAATTTCTGATATTTTGTGTTTACTTCGTTTCTTTTGTATATACTTTCTTCTTTGTTGTTGTGTCATTGAATTTTGTGTATGTCCTGTTGTAGAATGTGTTGAGGAATTATATACTTCGAGAAAATGTTTCATTGTTTCTTCGATAAAGTCTCGCTCTTGGTTTAAATCTCTGAGAGTCCTTATGAAGCGGTTTATGATGCCGAGTATGTTATGGTTATGGTCTTCAGTAGTGTAGTGAGTTATGTTATGCTTAATGAGAAAATCTGTGATTTCATTGCTGAGGTATGCACTGTCTGTCTGATGTTAAAGTACTTGGGCTATGTTCTGCTACAAACTTTTGTAAAACTCTTAACACTTCACGAGTTCCTTATTTTTCATTGGATATGCATATGCTTTACGAGTGTTAAACATTAATGAAGATGAGGAATGGTTTATGTCCTCTTTTCTGCTTTGAATGAGAGTGTCAAATTGGTATGCGTCAGGAGTGATGGAGTAAATTGGTAAAAAGTAGTCGTAAGGGTTTATTTTTGTTTGATATACAACATTTTTGTCAAAAGAACCTTTTCACTTCAGCTCTGTTAGTAAATCCCGACTCTTGCAGCTTCATTGAACTTCTTAAATGACCTCCATGGATGTTGTTCGAATACTTCTTTCAAGCTCATTTATGTAAAATTAAAGATTTTATTCTAGGCTCAAGCGCGTTCATTGAACTCTATACCATGCGAATACAGTCATAAATGGTGGCATATAATCTGCACCCGAGCCTGTTGGATTTGTTGTGAAAGTAATGGACATGATTTCCTCCTGGTTTCAGTTGGTCGAAAAGTCTTTTTTGCTGCATTGTTATAAGATGGAGATAAAACGTCATTGCCAGCTTTATATTCTGAGTTGTATAATGGATGGTCTCTTAATGAGTGGCTATGGTCGCCAGAAAAGTTTGTAGTTCCTGTATGAGTGTGCGCAGGTAAGTTTGCTTCAGTAATTTTCTTCGAACCACCTGTTTGCTTTGAAGAGTTAGCACAGTATAAGAATTTGTCTACAATCTGTTCCCAAGTACCAAAACCTAAAACTGTTTCTGGATTTGTTGAATTCATTGACGTATAAATAGAACCTATAGGATATAATGTTTCAAGAATCTGAGTCTTTAATGTTTGAAGCTCTGTTTTGTCTGCTTTCTTATCTAACATTGCGGGTAGTTCATATGCTTCAAAGTTTCTGGCATGACTTTCAATATTCCCAACTCTTATCTAAATTGTTAAGAGTATCTTTTTACGCTTGTACTTGGATTTTCTAATGGTGCACTTGAACCAAGGTCAAAGTTCAGTATTATGTCGTCTGCTCTAACAGTAGTGAAGGATTTATGTGTATGGTTCTTGTCAGCTTTCTTATCTAACATTGTTGGTAGTTCATGTGCTTCAAAGTTTCTGGCATGATCTTCGATATTCCTGCAACTCTTATCTAAATTGTTAAGAGTATCTTTTACGCTTGTACTTGGATTTTCTAATGGTGCACTTGAACCAAGGTCAAAGTTCAGTATTATGTCATCTGCTCTAACAGTAGTGAAGGATTTATGTGTATGGTTCTTGTCAGCTTTACTGTCTAATGTAGCTTGAAGTTCATTTATATCGGAGATGTTGTGTTTATGAGATTTCAAAACTTTGTTCATTGCGTCAAGTTCATTTTTGTCCGCTTTACTTTTAATAGCATCTTCAAACGTTATTTTTGACTTAACTCTCAAAGTAAATCTTGGTTCAACTAATACACCGTTAACATTGAAAGTAGAGGCATAAATTTCACCGGTATAACCAAATGCTTCTGGTGCTTTAGCTACATCATATTGTACAGTACAGCTTATGTCATAACCTTTAGCACGAATGTATTTATATCTTCTTTCATTAACATTTTTGTCTTCGCTTCATCACTTCGTGTTAAATATCCATGGTAGTTCGTTATAATCTGTTCGTCTGAAGTTATATAATGAACGTGGTTCTTGACTTTATCACTCAGAGATAAAAGCTCATTTTTGTTTGCTTTTTCGGCTAATTTCTCATTAACATCATTCACTTCTAATTCAACTCTTCCGCCAGAACTCTTATTATCATTAATCTTTTTCATTAATTCGGTAATTACGTCATAAAGACTATATTCTGTTTTCGGTTTTGTAAATAATGAGTCAAAATTTCTTTTTCATCATTACATCGCTGATTAATGATATCACCAATTCACTTTTTCATTTATTCTCTTCATTAATTCTGCAATAATGACGAATATATAATCTGTTAATTTATTCTCTTCATCGAGGGTTATAGAATGTTTTGAAATTGAATCATTAACTCCTCTAAATAAATCAATAACTTCAGGATACACGTTTTTAATGTCTCGAATAACCCGACCAGTATCCTGTTGTTCATGTTCTTCGTTCCCGTCGTTACGTGGTTTTATATCTCTAACCATCATCAACGCAGCCATAACCGGAGGGTTTGTTGCTATCTGTTCGAAAATCCGTCCGTTATGTACGGTATATCTAAATAATTTCTTTGTGTTTGTTAAAACATTTGAAACAAGTCTTTTAAAACCATCTACAAAATTTCCTGTTTCACCTAATGTTCTTGCAGCATTTACAAGCTCACCCATTCCCGCTTTTGACCCCAAAAACGTCCATATTGCATTTATTTCACTCTGTATAGTTGTCCATTCAGCGAAACTAACACCCGCATTCGCTAAGCTGATAATGAAATTCAGTGGATCGAACTTAATTCCACCTTCTTTTTCAATTTCAACGAACTCACTAACATGAGATTTTAAATATTCTTTCGTTAAAATTGTTTTCCCCGATGTTATGTCATTAACGAAACTATCACCGTCAAAAGTTAACGAATTCAATTTCGTCGTTGATGCTTTTATTTCATACACCGCTTTATCGATAGTTTTTGGCTCACCTTCTTTAGAAGCATATGAAACATTAATGAATGAATTATATGTATTCATGAATGAATTAAAATCAATGATTTTCATTAATGACGCCTTTAATGATTCATTTACTGTCGAATCCCTTAAAGTAATTAATGAACTGTCATTTATGAAAGGTACACTGCAAACCGTCGAGTTTGGATCAAATGCTATAGTTGGTGCAGGAATATTAATGATATAAGTCATTAAATCATTAAGTGACGTAAATAATGTTGTCGTTTTTGATTTAATTTCTTTAGCATCTGTTATATATGGTAATTTTATTTCTGTAGTTTCTGAATTAAAGATATTCGCTAAAATGTTTTGTAAACTGTTTTGAACAGCTGTGTAAACCGTTGAATCCGGAACTCTTACGATTTCACCATCCTTAATAAAAGGCATTGTACATGGCGTAGTGCTTGGGTCAAATCTTTCGGGATTATAATTCAACATATATTCTAACGCTTCATGAACAGACTTATATACTGTTGTGTCGTTCTTCATGACAACTTCACCATTTACAATGAATGGCATAGTGCATGGAGTTAAAATGGGGTCAAACTTTTCATAGTCCTTCCATGTTATGTATTTCTCGGTATTTCCATCACTGATAACAATATATTTGTCAGTAAGTGTGAGAGAGTATTGACCAAAATAATAAACGTTTAGCTCTGTCAGCTTCATACGCATATGCAGCTATACTCATATTTTAATGAGAATAAAATGTTGTTCTATTTGCAAAGTACAGACCCAAACGAATACGGGACAGTAAAACTACAAACAAACTTAGGTCTACAGAATGAGCCACTTGCATTCAGAATGGTTGACTTTAATACTATTGCTTCATTCGTTATAACTGACGAAACAGATTTCATGGAGCTTGAAATAGATGGAAAGAAGCACGAAATAAGATTTCACAATAATGTAGAATATAAGATGGAAACATTAGCTGGAGTGTTAAATGCTCTCATAAATACTACAATAAACAAGGATAACGAAGAAAACTTAATGAATGTTAAACTTATTGCAGGAGTTTTGAAGTTCAGTTATGCGAAGGAGTTTAAGATAACACGAATGAGTCATAGAGTACAACTTCTTTTAGGAGCATACCATATGACATTTCCTTTGAAAAGTGTTGACAAAACGATTGAGATGAAATCTGTTCCATACGTATGTTATGGCAATTGTTTATACATTGAGTCTAAAATAGCTAATGTCACAGGCATTTCAGGAGTTAATAGTAAAGGTTCAGTAGAGTATAAATCTTTCTGTTATGAAGTAAATTCAATGTTCATTCCAAACGTTCCTGTCATAGCAACTCATTTAGGTAAATGGGTTCGCATTAGTCCTCATAATTTGAAAGACATGCAATTCAGACTTGTTGACTTTCAAGGAGAGCCTGTAGAACTGAAGGCACCAGTGCGAATGACTGTTGAAGTTGACTTTTTAGAAAATATTAAATGCAACAGCTTACAAGAGAACTCAGAGCTAAAAATATAAAGTATGAATGTTATGTATTAGGTCATGAACTTTGGTTGTTGCTGTTTGATGAAACAAATGAGTTAGTTATGTCAGTCAAGAGAACAGAAAAATATTGTGTTAGTGAAAACTGCACCAAGTCAATAAGATTAGGTTTGCATTATGAAGATGAGTTCGATACTGTTGAAGAAGTTTTGGATAGATATTACAAATTGCTTTAATTTACTAAAACATATTTCAAGCAAAGTTTATATTCTGTTGAAAGTTTTGTATACTCGTTCGAATATTTATACTTAAACTCAACTCCTGTAGTTCCTGGTGTTTCAATGATGCGGATGTTACCTATTTTCATGAATGGTGGCGTTTGACCACAGCATTCGATTTCAGGGTCGAGATAGTCAATGACACATTGTTTCCCTGTTATTCGTGAGATAACATTTTCAAGGTCCTCCTTTGTTAGAATTATTTGGTTCTTACTTATAAGATTTGTCAAAAGCTTCTTATCGTCTTTGAGTAAAATTGTTTGGTATAACTGAAGAAGGTAATGGTCTACGTTATCTGAAGGATTTGTTTGAACATTTGTGTAAGGATTGTCGTTGGCTTCTCTTGAAAGAATTTGGTCCAGTGGTGGATACTCTAACTTAACATCTGATGTAGCGTTAGCGTTTGAAGCTGTGTTTAAATTCACGGATTTCAGCTCTGGTTCTTTTTCTTTCAAACACTCTGAACTATAGTTCTTTATGACAATATTGTTTGTCGTTCGTGAGTCAACATTTGATGTTGGTTCAATTGGAACATTAACGGCACCAGCTAAGATGGATTTGCTTCTCATTTCATATAGAATAAAAACCTTTTATATGTATGAAATGAACAATATACTCGACAAGGGTTTGAATGTAAAGCTAACGAATGAAAATATTGTTGAATTCACTGAGACAGGTGCTGTGTATAAAGATGTAGAACTACTGAACAAAAGAGCTAAGGGAAGAAGCAGGAACATGAACAAAGGGTGGAAGCCTATAAAAATTTATGTCAATGATGGCTCAGGAGGTTCAAACATAAAGTATGCAGAAAGTTATAGAGTTTATGCTCTCAAGGGAGAGAAGCCTTCATTTAAGAACAGCTATTCTAACACATATCCTCAAAAGCTAACGGATGGAGAAGTGGATGATATGAATGACAGCAAAAATATTAACAGAAATGGCGACAGAGATGCATGGAATTTGTTTACCATCAGTCAATTGAAGGTTAAACTTTAAAACAATGTTGGTCGTTCCCATGGAATATTTTTGACTTTAATGGTATTAGTCATGATATGAATCTCAAGGTATGAACGAGGAGAGATGAGAGACTTATATGCTTCCCAAATTTCTTCAAAAGGTAATGTTATACCTGACTGTTTCCAAATGAGTTCAATATCATAACGTGAGAAACCTTGAAAGATAACGAAGTCAGTTATGAGACGTTTTATGTTTAAAGCAAGAAAACGCCATGTTTGCATAAGTATTGCTACAGTTAAGTGGTAATGTCTGACTTTAGTAATGATGTTAGCTAATGGTGAGTCAGGCTTTGAAACTAAACCTTTTCCGGCGAAGTCGTCACAAACGAGCAGAGTGTTTGAAGGATACTTTTTGAAGGGGTATTTTGAAAGTTTTGATAGAATGTAGTTTGTCAGTCGTTTCATATCGTAAACTCCTGAGTATTGACGTAAGTGGTGTTTGTCAATAATTCTTTCCATCTCTTCTGAAGTCTTTTGCATTCCTGACTGTATAAATTCAACAATGGCATAATATACGTCGAATGTAACGTTGAAGAAATTCAATGAGTTCACTGTCTGAAACTTTAACGACAGAGGCTTGAACTTTTGACATAAATGTTTTCGCTGTTGAATCCATAGAGTCTGAAGTTGCTGATATAATGATTTGGTCATAGTAAGAGTCGTTTCCTAAACGCTCTGTTATGAGTATATGACGAATGAGGTTAAATGTCTTACCTGAACCCATCTTTCCACAATAGAAATAAACACCATTTGAACAGAACTCATAGTCCTTACTGAAAGGAAGAATGAGAGAAGAGTTAAGTTTGTCTGTAGTTTCATTCATGTCTTCATCTACGTCATGTATTAAATGCTTCATTTTATCTCCATTAAAAATGCAAGTCAGAAATATTCAGAACATAGCACCGAGTCTAACTGACAAGAGTATAAAGATATACTATGAACACGTTATGATGAAACCTACCAAAATTCAAGAAAGTCAGTATACTTATGAATATCCAAGGCACTGGGTAGAGTATGTAGGAGGTGAGAAAGCTATTGAAATCAGACAGGTTCGAAGTATTCCAGCAGGAAAACAATATTATTGAAGAACTTTAATGTTTTGAGATATAATGATGAAACAAAGAAGCAAGATAGTTTCCCTGTTGCTGTGTATGTGAACTTAGATACAGGAGATGACATGAAAGTTTTTAACACAAAGCTTCAAACGGTAGTGAGAGAACAACTGACTGCGGAAGGACATCCATTACCTTCAGAAGTTACCATAGCATATAATTTTGAAACAAACTCAATAGATTTTAAAGTCATCTCTGCAAAGAAGTCAGGTTTTACATTTAATGAAGCAGATGTATATTCGAATGAAAACTTCAAAGCTATTGCATGGTTAGATAATGACGATTGCTTTAAGAAAATATTTAAATCAGTGACTCAACGATGTCAATAGATGACCTTCGTGGAATGTTACCATCGACGTTTACAGTTGAAGGTTCAGCAGGATTGCTTACAAGATTGTCAATTGGTGGTTTGGTCTCGTGAGAACATTGTTATAAAATCCAGTATAAGTGAATTTGCTGAAGAATCTATATTATGTCTTTCAAACTACATGTATTCGCCGCCGAAGCATTATAGTATAACAAACTTTGTCAGTAAGTTTAACATAAGACTTGTCGAACCTTCTTCAATGAAAGATGTTGTGCTACCTAAAGACGGAAAGGATGGACTCATTATTGAGATGATTTTAATTGCATATTAAATGAGCTTGTTCTTGAAGGTCATTCATGATGAAATAACTGTTGTAGAAGATGTTAGCAATTGTTCAGACATTTTGAAGCGTATAGATGATATAAGAAAGAAGTTAGATAGACCGCAAAGCGGTGAGGGCGAAGCCCGTGAGAACGCTTATGTTTCATTGACTTTCTCCAGTAACGAGAACTTTTATGAGATAATATTGAAGAGAGATGATTTTAATATGGGGTAAATGGTAGCTTGGGCAGCTTTAGGCGCAATGGGAACAAAAGCATTAGCATTTGGAGCAAAAGCACTTGGAGCTTATGACGCAGTAAATAAAATGAGTGGAGGAAGGGTTTCGAAGACATTAGATGCAAATAAGAAGATTGGAGGCTGGGTTGCAAGAAGTTAAGATTAAATAAAATAGGGCTCATAAATAAAGCATCCAATTTGGTTGCGACTGAGTCAGAAAATGCTTTAGGAAAGGACGATGAGTTTGCAAAACACGCAAAAGACTTTAATGACCAGATGAAAGGTGAAACAATGCATTTAAATAGAGTCGATGGAACTAAAGAAAATGTTTCTTCTCCACCAGTAGTTTATCCATACGGACCTTATGGAATGTATGGAAACCCTTACGAAAGACCATTTGACCCATTGACTGGTGGAAGTAACTGGTATCATTACGGCCGAAGAAGAAAGACAGTCAAGTTGGAGACAGACGTGAAGAAAGCAACTAAAAAGAAACCAAGGAAGAGAGTTATAAAGTAATGAATTCAACAGGGTGAAAAAAGAGGTGAGATCTCACCACTTCACCTAAATTTAAATGGATGTTTTCATACGTGTGGGAGTGGTGATATCATTTATTTTTTATTTTATTTTTATATAAATGACGAAAACTATTGAGATAACAAACTACAACGGTCATGAGTTCAAGAATTTGTTCTTCGTTCCTCGTGAAAATACATTCTATCAGATACGAGGGAGAAAGGGTAAAGTTAGTTTGAGCGTTTATGAAGGAATGAAGAATGGAAAGTTTATACAAGCATACGATACAAACGGTAAGCGTGTTTCATTAGCTTTGTCAAAACTTACAGGTATAAACTATGACAGTGATTTTGACTCTGACGATTGGAGCGACAGCAGCGATACTGAAGAATATGAACTATTGTGTGAAGCACAGCAATGGGAAGAGTTGCAATACTTTTGTAAATGAGAACGTTTATTTTTACAGTAGTGAAGTCGTTTGTGAAAACGTTAGTGAGGTGAAGTGGTTGGCGGCTTTATAAATATTTAAGGTTAAGTTGGTGTTTGTGTTTGTGTTGTAAAATATACGTTAACGGTTTTGTAAAGTGTCAAATTCACATATCATGGGTAAGGAGGCTCGCAGTGCCTCCGTACACATGATATGTATACTAACTACTTTGAGGGTTATAAGCTGTTCCGTCTGCAGCTCCACCATAGCCTGCCATTTTCGCTAAAAGTGCCGCTCTTAAACCTCCACTCTGTGCACCAATAACTCGGTTTAAAAGCATAGGGTTGCTTGACATTTGTTGCAACATAGTGGGGTCATTCATCATTTGTTGTTGCAACTGTTGTTGTGGTGTCAGTTTTACTATTGGATGTTTCAATGCTCCCTTCCTCTTACGTATATTCTTACGTAGCTTACGTGGCATTTTAAGTGAAGTTAAAAAGCGGTTTTTGACAGATGTTTATATGACACTTTTTGCTCAGCACAAAAAACTACTCGGTCAAAGTGTTGTCAGTTTTGTAAAATAACCGTCTTATCTCATTCTATAAGGGGGAAAAGGCTTCTCAAAGTATACTTCCTTGGAACGCCTGTAACTTTTCCTGTAGCGACGATAGACCCTTACTTGTCCGGACAAAGTTATACTATTTTGAGTGCTCTACAAAAAAGTCACCGACTGGCTCGTCCTCAGAAATTTTTTATGGGCTAGAGGGCGCAACGCGCCTGGAAGCCCCACTACCTTTTTTTTATGAATGCAAAGCAATCAGT